GTCTTGTTGAAAAAGAAGGAGAAACACCCAGCAGGAACAGATGAGACATTTAAGTAACTTTACAAAAGATTTCAGGTAGAGGTATGAAGATAAATATAGAATGTATTCTTGTACTACTCAGCAAGGGCTGTACAGGCAGAAAGTACCCTCCCGCAGAAGCACTGTTAAACCATGGCCAACGGAGATGATGCCAGGGGAATAAACACATCAACTTTTCTCTTCTCCCATCCTCTGACCTTTTGTTCATTTCACCAGTGGCTGAATCCAGCTGGGAGCTGGAGGGCACGGGGGGGGGGGGGGNATTTAAGTATCAAATTGCACCTACTTATTCATGTATCAATATGGCATAGAAATAGAAAAACAGTTTAAAGCCAAAATTTGTATTTATTTAAGAAAATCCATGCCATTAGTCCTTGAGGACCCAGGATAAAGGGTCTTGAAAGCCCAGCACAAAACTGTCACACACACACAAAAAAAAAAATTTAAAAAGGAAAAAAGAAAACAAATGCATGCCCTGCTTATCTCAGAAGGATCATACACAAAGTTGATCAAAGACCAGATTTCATTTCACTACTTACATATTTTATTATGTCACTGTCAGTATTTAATCAACAAATTATCTAATTTTATATTGACTCCTTGAAATCCCTTTTGAATTACCATATTCAAAGGTATACTGATGTAGAGCAAAGATCAAATTACTAGTAAGAGGCAGTCTTAATTATGACTGTTAACAGTGGTTGAGTGAGTGATGTCAGGTGGTTAAGTAAAAACCAAGCACCTGCAGGATGTGTACTGGGCGTTTTGTTTAGAAACTGTCAAGTCTCATTTTAATTCCTTCGTTTCATTTTAAACAAGGTCATACACAGTACTTGGAAAGAGACTAGGTTAATCCATTCAGGAAGGCAGTCTTCATGATCTAATCACCTCTCAAAGGACCCACCTTTCAAATACCATAATTGGATTTCCTACCATCTTAACACTGCTACAATGGAGACCAAATTTCTAACACATGAGCTTTTGGAGGACACATTCTACCCACTGCAGTCACTGAATTAAATAAATCAATACTGTACTTCCCTCATATGGTGACATATTTTGGCTAAGTAAATATTAAATTAGACTCAGGATGATGTAGCTTCTCTGAAAATATTATTTGAACAGCTGCAAACCCAAAATTACAGAAAAGATTTCAGAATCTGACTGTTTCCAATGACAGGAATGATAACTTTAATATA